CTTAATGAGTAATATAACTAAACACCTTAGAATTCTAAGGAAGACAGCTTGTAGCAGAATTAGACCAAAAATAGAATAAGAATAGTGTAGCTTTATTCAAGGAACTGAAACAAGAAATGTAATTTTTATGATCAAAATGCTACAGAGCTCACAAATATACATAAAGATCTATGCCTATGCTTTATATTTACACAAAAGTATTTATGATGTGAGAAGCTCCTTGAGATATTAAGGAGATTTTTACATGGCAAAGATAATCAAGTAATCTATAACATTTATTAGGAACAAATAGCTTGCAATATGGATAGTTTTTATTTAATTTGTACAATTAGATAATTCTAAGAGGACTGGAAAACCTTTCAGTATTTATTGGGGTTCAGATCCTTAACTTACAGTAGATGACACTTGATTTAGAAAGAAAACCAAAAGAACTATTAGACATGGTAGCGGAATAGAGCAAAAGAACTAATCATTAAGTATAATGTAGTGCAAGAGACTGTCCTATATTGGGGTTGTCATGATCAAGCAAGTGCAATAATTTAACTGAGTAATGTTGTAGCAGATGATGGAAAGTCTGATACAGAAATCTGAAAGTATATAAGAATAGTGAAAGATGCCTTTCAGAAAGTGAACAATTTTTTTAAGAGATTGGAAAAGGTTCTTGGCAACAAAGAGTGTTGAACTATGTAATATGTAATCTCCTATATGGCAACTTGTTGAACTATATCTTTATAGATGAAGAGACTTATAGCAACAGATATAATTCTACTGATGAATGTTGAGAATATTGTAGACAGCATTTGAGTAACAAAGGAGTTTTAAGGAGAATAACAGTAAGAAAGGCAGCTAAAATATTTTGGACATATAAGGAAAGAAGTCTTGGAGAATTTAACATGACACATTGAAGGCAACAGAAACAGGGAAGATGAATAAAAAACATGGCAAGTAAAAGATTTAAATGAATAACAATTTTTTTTTTTTTTTTTTTTTTTTTTAAAGGCAGACTGTCTAGCTATTTATGAGATTTATGTAACATAATATTTCCATTATGTCTCTATCATTTCCATTTAACCTTGTACTGGACTCGAATAAACTTAGAAATGTGATACTTTGGAAGTATATGTCTCCTCCACCTTTCTTTCTTTGGCCTTGTTAGAAATATTTTGCTGGGTGGGGTAAGGTTATTTGATATTTTAGATATAGGGGAGACAGTGAAAATAAAACTGATGTGGGGTGGATGATACACTAGTATTTGTTGACACTTTTACTAGAACTATGAAGAGAGCTGAAACTACCAGTTAAGAGGATGCTGGAAATTAGCTCACAAGAATAAACATGATTAAGTACTAAGGTTGATCCATTGGAAATTGTGCAAATGGTTGAGATTTGACTACACAAGCCAAGAGGATAGTCTAACTTTGGAAAGAGTTTATTTTTCAAATCTGTTTCTGTACTTGTTAATGCCATAAAAAAAATGAAAGAAACTCCTTGATGTCAGGAAAAAAAGATAAGACTTATCTGACAATGGCATAAGGTGCTTCAAAATCTCAAATTGAGTAGGAGTGAGAATTCTCAAATCAGCCTGACTTATGAATCTGGTTTATGAATCAACAAATATTACCTCCTCCAGATTTTTGCTAATTATCTGAATTTTATCTCAAAGTAGTATGTACCCATCACCCTCCCAAATATTTCCATTTTTAGTCATGATTTGTATGATTGGTACTTCTCATACAGGGTGCTATGGATAAATTGTCTAAATTATGCACAAATTAAAATAACACTGACATCTCATTTTAACAAATATATTTACCAAAATTACACAATAATATCTTGAAATAATAAAGAGTAAAGTCTTTAGCTCTTTTTAAGCTTTAGCATTTATTCTTGTATTTTTTGTGTATGTGTGTGTGTGTGTATGTAATATATATACACACATACAGTGTGTGATGGATAATACTGACATCTCATTTTAACATATTTACCAAAATTATACAAATATCTTGAAATAATAATAAAGAGTAAATTTATTCACTAGAATCCCAATTGGCTTCAACCACAGCCTCCAGACAACTTTGTAATCTCCTACAACTCTTCTGGATGGTCTCCTTTGTGAAAGCTGTCATAATCATTGCCTTCAGTTCATCTTTGGTGTTACAAGGAATTTTGTTGGTCTCTTTCTCAACTGTATCCCACGCATAATAATCAGTGGGGTTGCAGTCTGGGGAGTTAGGTGGCCAGATGTAACTGAAATTATCTAACAGTGACTCGGTTTGTCTACTTGTGTAGCATGGTGCAGGGTCCTGTTGTCAAACATAGGGTTTTCCAACAGACACTCTTGACCCAGGGCAGCACTACCTCCTCAAGGCAGTTAATGTAGACCTCCATCTTGTGTTGGAGGCTCTGTGGGAAGATGAATAAAAGCATAATGTTGCCATCACTAGTGATCACGCTAAACACCGTAATGTTGACTGGATATTTGGTTTTCATTACTCTCTGTACGTCTTTTAGAGACACAGCAAGCTAATAATGGTTGTTCTGTGTGTTCACCATCTTATCCTGATAGAAAGTTTTCTTGTCAGAGGAAAAAAAAAAAGCATATTTGGTTGGAGGGTATTCTTGAGTTTGTTCAAAAGCCTTGTAGCATGAACTTGTCTTTCATGGCTTGGGATAAAAATTGGCCCTTTCTCATCTTGTATGAGAAATACTGAATATCTTCATGTACTACCTGTCTGATAAGAAACTCAGACACTCCCGAGTCTCTGGCTATAGATCTGATTGACTACAAGCGATTGTTGTCAATCGTGTCCTGGATCTCACCAACAAATTCAGAAGTTCTTTTCTTATAAGAATGATCAGAGTGAGTTTTCCGAGCTGCTGTACTTTCACAATCACCATTAGACTAATCCAACTCTTTACAGTTTTTCTTCACTGTTCTCAGATTGACACCCAAACATTCTAAAATGTTTGTATTGGAGTTTCTGGTGTGAATGCCAAGCAGTACAGAATGCTATTTCCAAATTTCTGGTGAAATGAACTGCATCATGGTACTCTTTTTCTCATAGACAGTTTCCAACTGACCCTACTATACTGTGAAAACAATCAAAAACTAACAAAGCACATGCATGAATTTAAAAATATAAAATGGCAACAATTCATTCATCGCACACTGTACCTTACTACATCTATAAGTTATGTTGTTAATGTACTTTTTCATCCATTTTTTTTCTTGTAAGGGAATGCTGCAAATGGTAAATTTATTATTAAATAACATCTTAACTGTTACCACTTGGCACTATTAATATTACTTCCCTTTTTACTGCATTCTTTTTCAAGGCCTCTCAATTGCAGTATCCTTATTGTTAAATTCACTCAAAGTTGTTTTCTGTTGTAATAGCAGGATATGTCAACACATCAATGAAATTCACACTATTGTTCAAAGATCAGTTACCTTCAGTAGCAGGATAAACTTTTTGTACAACAAATGAAGTTGCATACAGAGTGATAGGGGTTAATCCAATGGATCTGTTCTGTCACCCCCTCTTTCATAAGAAATATGAAGAACAATTTGTCACCAGTTGATTTTTCTTAATTCTAGGGGTTTAGATTTTTTGTCCTGGAATACACTGGACAAAAGTCAAAGAAAAGTTAAAAACAAATACATAAAGATTTTAAAATTCAAACCATGTTACAAACCAATGCTCTATAGACAAACTAGACACTTTCCTAAAGAATAAATGTAAAATTCTATAGTATTTTAAAATTCAAATATGTTAGTCAGAAAATCATATTTAATCATAAATTGAGAGTGAAAAATTTGGAAAAAAAAAACATGTAGGAAATGAATATGATGAACTCATCATAATTGGAATACAGGGAACAGTTTGAAAGAGCTTTGCAAAAATGTTGGCAGAAATGGAGTAGAAGCAAAATCATTTGGACAGCATTTCTAAAACAAACTAGAATTCTGATAAGAAGAATTGCTACAATTTGTTCTCAAGTGGTAGTTGTAAAAAAATGTAAAAACACAAGTACATAAAATACTTCTATTATGGTTTTTATTTAACAAAAACAAAACAAAACATTGTTGTCAGTACACTCATTTAGTTATTGTAAAATTGATTACTAGAAATAAGACCTTACTATTTGATTTTAAGTCCAGTGAAGAACTGATTAAAAAATGTTATTGCCTCTGTATAAAAATTAGTTCTGTCAGAATTGTTTGCTCAATTGCTTACTTGTGTATCCTCTACTATTACAATATGTGTGACTAAGCTTATTTATCATTACAGATGATACAATGAAGTGACTTCTTTTATATTTTCCCATAGACAATATTATAAAGTTAGCATCAGCAGCCTTATCAGTTATATGGATTTTGTTCTATTGGTTGGTTGATTTGTTTTCTATGGCTCATCAATCCTTTACAGGTTATTTAAAGCTATAAAGTATTTTAATTTATAAAAATGTTTTGAAATAATAATGGCTTAGTGATACAAACCTTGCTAATTAACCCAAGAAGGTAGATTCATACCTTTTCCAAGGATGTTTGCATGTAAGTGAATATAACAAATGCAATGGAAATTGGAATTTCTCTCTTTGATTATCAATTCTGAGCCATTATCCATTACACCAGCACCTGGTATTCCCAAGCAGTTACCCATCTAGGCACTGACCAGGCCTGACATTACTTAACATTGGTGATCATATAGGAACTGGGATTTCAATGTGATATACCATAAGCCAATTTTCTTCTGTATATACACACACACATACACCCACATACACCCCCCCACACACACACACGTCAAAAAGCACACCTGAGGTTCCAATCTGAAAATGTGACTTCAAGTTACACATTAAAGTGAACTTCAGATGATAAAGATCAAAGGTTGGTTGACTAAACTACCTAAATATATAGCTTTATAGATGGCTAGATCTGTCAGGGTCCTCTCTAATTGATAGCTGTTTGAAATAATGAAAAATTACTTTTTTTCCAGAAAGAGAAAAAAGATAGAGATAAACCAAGCCTGGTTAAAAGACTAACAATGGGAAAAGGAAAGAAATCAAAATCGCCTTCAGAAGGAGAAGACTCGGTTGTGACTTTGTCTTCTGATTCCAGTCACACAGGCCACACAAGGTAAAAATTTAGCATGCTCCTTTTGCATTTATTTTTTTATTTTTAAAATAAGTCATACTTTTAAAATAACAATATTTTGTTTATATTTTATCTTTTACTAATTATATGCATGTTTTTTTTGTATTTTTTGTATTGAAATTAAGAACTCAATAACACCAGTCTTAATTTTTTTTTGTTACTTGTATGAGGCTTGTTAACCATTACTTGGATGAGGAAAACTTCAAAAAAGTGCAAAAACAACTTTCATTTATACAGAGTGCATCAGAAATTCCTTCTACATAATGGTAAAACATTTGCTAGATGAAGACCATTTGTGGTGGGGGGTATTTCTGCTGTACACTGTATTAAGTCCTTAAGTGCTGTTTATAAAAGAAAATACAACTCAAACTCTTTCATTTTTCTAATGTACCATATTTGATGGTGCACAACTGTTTACATCTAATAAATAGTACAGTATGAAATTAGATACTAATTAATAGTCTGCAGTATAATCTGAGTAAACATTAGCCTACTAGATACTTCAAATTTGCATAAAAGTAGTAAATTAAATATTGTTGATGGGTGGATCATATATGCTATAAACTATAGTAATTGTAGAGGTTGTAGTTAGAGGTTTGATGAAATTAAAAATCAATTCCTAAGTTAAATTCTACAAATATAATCAGCCATGTTCTTGATAATGTCATGTTAGGACAGATATACAAGGAAATAAAATAAGCTTAAATTCTTTGAAATCTTAGATGTAGTATCTTCATTAATAATTTTTTTTGGCTAATTTTCATCTTTACAATATTCTAGGTAAATTTCATTTTTGATTGTTAAATAAACATTAAACAGGAATAATGACTTTAACTTGCATCTTGGATATTTTCTACAATTTCATTGTTATTATCTTTACAAGCTTTCAGAGTATCATGGTCATTCTTTTGATTGATTTTGCTATTAGCATATTACTTTAGCCAATCGATTTTTGTTTACCTTATTCACACTTAAACCTACCTTAACTACTTTTCATATGTTCCATTGTGCATCTGAAGTAATTACCAGATTGGACAGCAAGTACCAAATTTGGATACATTTCAGAGCTAAATGACATGAAAGTATTTATTTTTTTTTATGGCTCTCTACCTGTTAAATGAGCATGACCATTGCTGAATTTTTAATGTAATTTGATATGGTTATTGTTGGTCATGAAATTGGCAGTGATATTTTAAACAAGCAAGAAACTTACATGCTTTTCTGCTGACATAGAAAACAAGATTTTCTGGGTATGTCATTTCTTTGTGACCTTAGCAACTGGTGAATTTTCAGATACCTTTTTAAACCAGATTAACTTTTGCAAACTTTTCCACATGTCTCAGGATTGATGTCTAAGAATGCCACATGGTTTGATTTATAAAGGAAACAGATTGGCAAAGAAGTTTGCTTTTTATCTTTCATTTATAGTCTTTGCAGATATATTCTATTTATAACTGATTTTTTTACATGCCATTTCTCTCTCTCTCTCTCTCTCACACACACACACACACACACACACACACACACACACACACACACACGTTTGTGTGTACTTGGTCAGTAATCCCTCTTTATACAAGAACTGACAATGTACTGTGATTAAACATTTTATAAAATTTTTCTTGCCTTCTTTTCTGGACATAGTGTGTAAAAACTGTCCAGATTTTCTATATATCAGAGCGCTCATCTATTCTATTATCCATTATCAAGGAAGCTTTTATTTTTAACCGAAGATGTGTATCTATAATGATAGGAATATTTATTTATTTATTTATTTATTTTTATTTTTTTTTATTTTATTTTATTTTTTTTTTCAGCACATTGTCATTTTTTTCATAGTTGATATTATTGAGTATTGGCTTTTTCTTTATTATAAATGTTTCCATTATTTTTAGCCGTCTCTTACATGAGGATGAGGCTATTAGTTGTATTTTCTACAAGTATGTTCCAGATGGAGTTTTGTAGGCTTCCATATGTGTTTGAATGGATCCTAATTGAGCTATAGTCAGAGAGATGTAACATGAGTCTTCTTGATAGGCATGTAGTATTATGTCCAATGTAATTATTCATAAGTTTGGTTTGATCAAGAACACAGTTCCTTAAGGGACATGTGAATTCATAAATAATATTGATTTTCTGTAAATTAGATCTTGCAAATGAGTTGTTGCTGATGATAAGGTTAGTAGTTTTACATTTTTTTTATAATAATTTTTCTTGTTCTGGTCAACTGAGGTAGTGTATTTCTTTATAATGTTTCTAAGGGAAATCCATTGTTACTCAAAAGAATGATGACTGGATTTGAGAAGTTTGATTTAAAGAAAAAGATTTTGTAAATTTCAACTAACAGTAGTGCTGTTTGGTCAATGAATGCCAAATGTTTCCTACAGAAAGCTAATTTTACCATTACTCCTATTATTTGAAGGAAATGGCTCAGTTAAAAAAATGGCCTGAATATTTGAGAAATTTTCTCTTGCCAAGTAGGGATGTAAGTTCAAATCCTGCTGGAGAGCACATATTTTTCTTTAATAAGATTTCTCAAATATTTAGGATGGTAGATAAAAATAAATAAATATACTGTTTTAATAAATAATTGGAGTATCTATTTGAATACCCACTAAAAATAATATTTAAGTAATAACATCTGTTGGATTGATAAATAAAAAAATCCATCATGTCTTTAAAAATTACATATATAATTATAAATCACTGTAAATAACAATTTACATTTTATGATTGATAGAAATTTAGTGTTAGGCTTTTTTTTTTCTAACCAATCAGCGTTCAGAAGCTATTTAATCCAAGAACTATTTAATTTATCATTGATGAAAAGCTTTGGGAATCATTTTAAGTGATCAGTCAAACTTTGATAATTGGGTCACAATTGATGCTTTATCAGAATAAACAAATGCACCATATATTTTAAGAGAAGAGCGGCTACTCATAAGTAAAAGAATTTCTTTAAAACATTTATTGGAACTTTGTCTATTTTTATATCTAAAAAAAAATATTTGAGATCTTTAAATCCATTCAAAATATCAAAATAATTATAAAAATTATCTGTTGCACTAAAATTAATTTTTCTAAATATTTGTTTTAATTTTGCCCTAAACCATTGTCTTTAGCAAAGTTTATTTATTATTCAAACTATTTAAAATGATATTTAAAAAATAATTAGTTTCACTAATTGCCTTGGAACTTAATTACCACTGCAAATTATTACTCTTAAATGGCAGGTCAGTTGCTCATGGACAAAATTATTAAAAAGAAGCGATCTTTAAAAGGGTAATGAAAATATACTTAAATTAGTTTCATTGTAGCAACTTAGAATGTTAGTATTTACAATTTTTCTTTTCACTTGTGCAAGTACATTTTTCTTTTATAATCTAAAGTCTAATTTTATTGATGGATTGTCCTTTGGTGAAAGTTTTATAATATTTAATCAACATTTGTCCTAATTAGTGTTTTAATAAATAACTTTATACATAACTGGCAATAAGATAAAATTTCTCACTTTTTTTTTTTTTTTTTTTTTTTTTTTAAATGTTATCAGCCCAAGCAAGGCAGTACAGCCACTAGTACACAAGAGGCTTCAGGGTGTGGAGAAATTAGGAAGATTAAAAACAGCATAGGACCAAGGGTGAAGCTCTGGGGCACACCTGTGTTAGTTACGAGAGGACATAGATGAGTGACCATTCAGAACAACTTTTATTTCATGATTTGATAAGAACAACTGGATCAGCTCAAAAATGTGGCTGGAGACAGTAACTTTTTAGCTTGTGGAGAAGACCTGACTGCCAGACCCTGTCAAAGGCTTTCAAGATGTGGATGCTACAGCCCGAGCTTCAATGTTTTTATCTAGAGCATAATAGATTCTTTCCACAATTATCATCATCAGCAGTTGATCTGAGGAAATGAAAGCCGTAATACTTGTCTCGGAAAAATCCCCATGATATGAGAGAATGATCCAATTCAGCAGTGATTAAGGCCTCTAGGACTTTCCAAAAAGAGGTAGAAAGTTAATAGGCCAATTGTTGGATGGGTCGGATAGTTCACCAGAGTTCTTAAAAGCTGGAACAACAGACGATGACTTCCAGCAATCAGGAAAGCAGGAGGCATTTATTATACAGTTTAGAGAGAACAGGAGCCAGTTTGGGAGCATACTTATTAATGACTATTATAGGGATGCCATCGGGTCTACATGCTTTTTGGGGATCTAGGTTAGAGATTATAGCAGAAACCATGGAAGGGGTTATATGCATATCACTTGGCATAGAATCAGTTTTAAATGGTAAGTTAGGCAGGGATACTCCAGGTGAGTCAAGAGTAAAGTTTGAGAAGAATTTATCAGCAGAGGATGATAACACCTCCAATCGACTGAAGAGGTTGGGAATAGAGACCTTGTACTTATTTAGGATCTATTACAGGGACACCAGTAGTCACAAGAGCCAAAGTTTTTAGAGGCTATACAGTACCTCATTCTCTCAGCAAGCAGTGACTTAGCTTTTTTGAGGACTCGCTTATATTTATTACAAGCAATAACAAATAGGCATCTGTTATGATGAGAGCTGTCATGCTGGCATACTTGGAAATAGTGCTTCCCATGTGCTATGGCAGTTGAACATACTGGTGTGAACCATGGAGAGGATTGTGGGTTTAAATTATAATTTAACTTGTCACATCTTGTGATGTGTTCAAGCAACTCATGTTAATAACAGAGGGTTAAATAAACAGTCAAAAATCTATTGGGTAGGAAATATTGTATGTGTTGGCCTATAAAATACTTTTTTGTTGATTGTGAAAATTACCAACTATATATTTATTAAGCTTAGTTTAGTATAGTACAAGACTATTTGTGTTGGAGCATCAAGTGAGAATTGAAATCTTTACAGAACTATTCCAGCTTAGTAATTACTGTCTCATGGTGAAATGATTAATATCTTGTACCCAGTGTTAGACAGAAATAGAAGATTTAGGTTTTGGTA